AACTGTGTAACCCACTACCCTCTAGCTTGCAAAATTCTAAAATCTAAATGTAAAAGATGTGCATTTAAAAAAAAATTATTCCACAATGAGATACCACTTCACACCCACTGGGAAAACTACAAAGAGGTCTGGTGATGCTTTGGATTAGGCATTGGGCTACTGTAATAAAAAGAGACTTACAGTAGCAATGTTGGCAAAGATACAGAGAAATTACAGCCACTTTGAAAGAGTCTAGCAGTTCCTCAAAAGGATAAACATAGAATTACTATATGACCCAACAATTTCACTCCTCATGTACCCTACTTAAATGAAATATATGTCCACATTAGAACTTGTGCATGAATATTCATAGCAGCATTATTCATAATAGCCAAGACGTGGGGAAAAAACAAATACATTAACTGATAAATGATTTTTTTAAATGTAGCCTATCCATTGTTGTTGTTGTTGTTGTTAAGTGCCGTCGAGTCGGTTCCAGCCCATAGCGACCCTGTACAGGGTTTCCGAGGTATCTTTACAGGAGTAGAAAGCCTCATCTTTCTCCCGCAGAGAGGCTGGTAGTTTCGAACCACTGACCTTAAGGTTCGCAGCAAGATTCGTAACCACTACGCTACCAGAGCTCCTACATACAATGGAATATTATTCAACAGCAAAAAGGAATCAAATACTCATACATGTTATATTATGGACGAACCCTAGAGACATAAAAGTAAGTGACAGAAGCCAGTCACAAATGATTTCATGTAGAGGATTCCATTCATGTGAGAGGTCCAGAGCAGACACACTGGGGATTGCCTAGGGCTGGTATAGGGAGAAATGGGGAATGACTGCTAATAAGAATGAAATTTTCTTTTGGAGATGATGAAATGTTCTAGAATCGATTGTGGTACTATTATACAACTCTGTGGTTGTACTAAAAGCCACAGAATTGCACACTTAAAATGGGTAAATTGTAAGGTATATAGATTATATCTCAAAAAAGCTGATTAAAAAAAAAAAAGTTAACTAAAACCAAACACACTATCATCAAATCGAATCCTACTCATAGTGACAATTTCCAAGACTGTAAATCTTTATGGGAGCAGAGCGCAGAGCAGCTGGGGTTTGAACTGCTGACCTCCAGTGTTTTCATACAGCATCAACAGGGCTCTAGTGAAACTTAATTCAGAGCAGCAGCATGAACAAGGCCTCATGCCCAACTGAGACTCGAGGGTCAAAACGCAGAACCTGAAATGTTGGTTAGCCAGAGTAGCCTGCATCTGAAATGTTGGTATTCCTTTTCCTTCTGGATGTAGTAATCTGACTGAAACCTCAAGATGGCATAAAAATAAAAACTATATAGGTATCCTTCCAAAAACAAAGGAAGAAGGGAAATGAAGAAATAAGTTTAAATCCCTGCCAACTACGCCATCTTGCCCTGGAAGTCAACAACAACCCTTTGTAACTGATTTTTGGTCAAAGTATACTGATCATTGTAATAATGTTTGCTTCTCAGGAGTTTATGACATGTGCAAGAATCTTATATATTAGACTTGCGATTTTAATAGAATGCTAAAATTAGTTTATGTTCAAAATCAACATTCTGTGTTTAAGTACTAGTTGTGTAAGTAGTAAGTGGAGTCCTGATGTGACACTGTAGGATAATGCACTGGACTGCAAGGTTGGTTTGAACCACAAGGTCAACAGTTCAAGCTCACCAGTTGCTCCTCAGAAACCATAGACAGGGTCACTATGAGTTGGAAACAACGCCACTGCACATAACAAGTAGTAAGTAAGTATTTTTGTTCTTCGTCGCCATCCATGGGAACCTTACATATAACAGAACAAAATGTTTTCAGGTCCTACACCATCTTTGTGGTCACTGTTATATTCTTGTCCATTGTGGTGATTGTTCCCTCATTGTTTACTGAACCACTTTACCAAACATGAGCAGTAAGGAGTATGGCATATCTAAAGTTGTTGTTGTGTGCCGTGGAGTCAGTTTCAACTCATAGCGACTCAGGTTTTCTCCTCTTGCAAAGGTTATAAATCTTTGCAAGAGGAGAAAACCTTATCTTTCTCCTGTGGAGCAGCTAGTGGGTTCAAATTGCCTACCTAACAGACACCATAATCAAAGGGAATATCCTTTATTTTGCATACCAATCTGTTGTTTCCCTAAAAAGTGACCTTGGGGGATGATTTGGATATAAGGTAATGATTTCATTCTATTTGTATCAACAATCAACATCCATGAAGGCAACAACCAAGTATGTAGATGCTATTGTTGTAGTTTAGTGCTGTTGAGTTAGTTCTGACTCATAGCGACCCCATATAAGGTTTCCAAGGAATGGCTGATAGGTTTGAACTGCCAACCTTGTGACTCAATCTGACCTTGTGGTCCAGAACATTGTCCTGCAGCACCACACCAATGTATGTTAGGAATCCACTGTGGCACTGTAGGATAAGCACTGGACTGCAAACGACAAGGTCGGGGGTTCAAATCCACTAATTGCTACTTGGAAACCCTGTACAGGGTCACTATGAATTGGAACACACACGACAACACTCAGCAACAGCAATATAACAGACTGGTTTTCTCTTTGTAGACTCATCATCTTCATCACTAATAGAGGTGGCTGTTGGTTCTGACTCATAGCGACTCTATGTATACCAGAACAAACCATTGTCCTGTTCTGTGCCAAACTCACAATTTTATTGTTATGTTTGAGTCCAATCTGCAGCCATTGTGTCACTCCAATGTTGTTAAGTGTCTTCCCCTTTCACTGAGCTTCTATTTTACCAAACATGATGGCCTTCTCCAGAGACTAGTCAGTTCCTCCTGATAACATGCCCAAAGTATAAAGAGGAAGTCTTGCCATTTTTGCTTCTAAGGAGTATTTCTTCCAAAATAAATCTCAGGTGTACTGCTTCCAAAACAAATCTGTTCATTCTTTTGGCAGTCCATGGTGTATTCACTATTCTTCACCAAATGCATTAATTCTTCTTGGAACTTCTTTATTCATTGTCCAGCTTTCACATGCATATTAGGTGATTGAAATCAAGTAGGTATACCTTAGTCCTCAAAGTGGCATCTTCACTCTTTAACACTTTAGAAAGGTCATTTGCAGCAGATTTTTCTCAATGCAAAATGTTGTTTGATTTCAGGTAGTTGCTCTGAAGTCACCACATTATCATGTCACAGTGAACACAACCTGAAACAATGGGACATGTTATTGTTGTTAAGTGTTGTGGAGTTGGTTCTAACTCATAGTGACCCTATAGGGTTTCTGAGGAGCAGCTGGTGGGTTTGAACTGCTGACCTTGTGGTTCTCACTCCAGTGCTGATCCTACAGTGCTATACCAGGCGTCCATGTTCAGGCCCTGCCCTCTGGGAGTTCAGAGCTACATGGCTAGTAGACACACCAGTATGAAGTGGGACATGAGGAAAACTCTAGCTCATGGGACTGAGAGTTCAGACACCACCCAGAGGGAACAGTAGTGGATGGTCCTGGGTGGCCAGCAAGTAACTTAAAGCCTGGTGTGGCGCTGTGTGTTAATACACCAGACTCAAAGGTCAGTTTGTTCAAGCCAGAAGTTCTAGCTCACAGAGCCAACCTGAGGACAACCAGCAACAATAGAGAGGGTGACAACCAGGAAGATGGACAGAAAGAGCAGTTGTCAAACCTGAGAGAACAACCTGCCTTACGACCAGAGGAAACCAAGCCCCACGGTGTCCAAAGTGGGAGAGGAATGAGGTGAGCAGGTTGAGGGGATAAAGAAGGGAATAAGATGGGGATCCTGGAAAACATTGGGAGAGAAGAATATTCTAGAAAGACCTCTAATGCTGTTGTGTATCCTCCTCCTGCCCTCCTCCTTTCAATAGGCCCAATTCCTGGGACCTGGGGGCTGGGGAGTCCACAGGCTGTGAGGAGAATACACTCACAGGGACTCCTGAGAACCTCCACCAGAGGCAGGCCCTTCTGAAAACTTCATCACCTCCCACCAACTCCACCTCCACTTTCTTACAACGACCTTCCCCCACAGCTGCAGAGCTCCTGGGGAAATCAAAGGGAGAGCAAGAGACCACAGCACCACTAAGGCAAGAGAACGAATCATCACTTGGGAATAAAAGCATCAAATAAAAGTGGGATTGTTGACTCCAAAGGTTTTCTCTCCCTTTCCTTCCTTCCTTTATTTTGTTAAGTACCATGGAGTCCATTCTGACTCATAGCAACCCTGTACAGGGTTTCCGAGGCTGCAAATCTTTACGGGAGCAGAAAGCCTTATCTTTCTCTCGCGGAACAGCTGGTAGTTTTGAACTGCTGACCATGAGATTATCAGCCCAATTCGTAACCACTACGCTACCAGAGCTCCTTTATAGAGGCCCACTATTTATTCAGCAATTGTTCAAAGACAGCGGTTCTCTGGGGCACAGTGTGCTAAGCAACGTATGTAAGGGAGGAGATCCACTTCCAAGAAGCTTAACTTTCACAGGAGGAAAGGGTAATGTCATAATGTCAACAAACTGACTCCCCCTAACCCTGGGGACTGATGGAAGTTCAGTCCCCTCCTGGCCCTGATACCAACTCCCGGCCTCAGGTGCCACCTCAGTTACTCCTGCCTCCTCTCTTGCCTTCTTCAGGTCCCAACACAACTCTGGAATTGACTCTTGTCTGTTCAGCGTGAGACCATGAGGCACCACCTTCAAGCGTCTGGACTTTGATCTTCTGCAAAAGGGTGGGGAGATAGCAGGAGAACAACTAGAGGGAACTAAAGAGGGACTGAGGAGGGCTAGAAAGGATAAAACCCACTTCCGTTTCCAGCTAGAAAAGAAAAGACATTGAGGGAAGCAAAGTCTATAACCACTGTGTTTTATTGTAGATTAGCACAGGGGATCAAGGGAGGGAGTGATAAGTAGGAGTGATGCTTGGAGACAGGTTGACTGAGTTTGGATTCAGCTCGCACTGCAAGGGCAGGAGACAGGACTCTACTCACTGATTTACAAAGTAGGGGTCCTTCTCCTAACCCCACTGTGACCCAGGGTCTTGGGAACTGTGGAAGACAGCTGGATCATTCCAAGAAAAACCAGAAGGACGGAGAATTCTGGGAGGAAACTTATTATTGGTACCTGGGAATAGATGAACATTCCCCCAGGTAGCCCCTGGATACTGATTAATATTTCCCCAGGTGCCTCCTGGATATTGATTATTATTCCCCCAGCTGGTACCTGGGTATTGATTATTGATACCCCAGCTTCCAGCATGGGGTGGTGGCACAGGTCTTGTCCCACAGCCAGTTCCAGGATGTCCATCTCCCCAGGACACCCCAGAGTTCGGGATCCCCCAGGGGCGACCAGGCAGAAGTGGATGGCGGATCTTGTTAATGAGAGACCAGGGAGGGCGTTTGGCAGGGATTTGTCCCTGGGCTCCTAGGAGATTAGAACAGCGTAGACGTCTAGTCTCAGAGTCCTGGTGGAGCAGGGAGGCCCTTACTGAGTGTGCAGAAGGGCCTTCAGGCAAAGTGCCACTGTCCAGAGGGAGGGCAACAGCACTGGCAAGGTAAGACAGTCCTTCTGGCGGCATATCCCTGGAATAGTCCTCAGCTGCAGCATCCATCACTGGCCAAGGATCCTCAGGAGGCCAGGAGGCCACAAAAGGCTGCCCCTCAGATGAAGGCAAATTCAGCAGCCCAAGACCTCCTGCAGGCTGGGAGCCATCAGATGGATACATGTTGGGCTCCAGAGGGCCTTTTGGTAAGCCATTAGACCCAGCATTTGGCTTGGGCTGAGGATGTTCAGAGTCAGAGGAGCTGACCAAGGAAGGTTGTCCAAGCAGAGGCAAGTTGGTCCCCAAGTCTTGGAGGGCTTTCTCCTCCACTGCACTGATGCTTCGGGCAAAGAGGCCTGAGAGAAAGGGAAGATAAAGCAAACAATGGACATTCATGTTTGGTCCCAGTGCCCTCCTTTTCTTGATTCTCTGGTTCCCATCCTTTCCCTACACCAGCTCTTACTTCCCTCAGAACCCAAGTGTATATCTCTCCTGCCTAATTCCTGCTTTTAATACCAGTTCCCTGGGAGCCCCAATCCCCTACTGCCCATCAGGCAGCATACTAGGAGCCTCCATACCTGGGAGATGAAGAGAGACGGAGATTAGGCCCAGCAAAGCCCAGCTCCCTGCTATGCGGCCCTTCATCATGCTCAGCTCTAGGATCTCCCTCAGTCTCAGGAGGGCAAGCCCTTTATCCTGCTCGTGGGGCGGGGGACAGCAGAAACAGGCTGGGCCAGAGGTTTGGAGACAATAAATCTCCACATTCCACCCTCCTTCCTAATCCGCTCTATGTCAACAGGTGCCATTTGAATGTCCCAGAGGAAACTAAGTGTCCCTCTGCCCTGATGCCTTTCCTTGAGTTCCCAGCCACTTCTTGATTCAGGTGCCCTGGCTCACAGCTCACCCACCACAGGTTGTCAGCCCTACACTTCCTGATTCCCTACACCATATGCATGAGAATCATCACCTCGGGGTCTCAACCATTCCAGCGCATCTTCTCAGCAATAGAAACAACTGGCTCTCATCTTTTTCCTTGGGATTCAGATCTTTTTCAAACATCCTTATATGGGCTGCTGTAATATTAAACATTCCGGAACACTTAATTGTGCTTATGAGAAAGCTGTACCTGGACCAAGAGGCAGTTGTTCAAACAGAACGTAGGAACACTGAATGGTTTAAAATTAGGAAAGGTGTGTGACAGAGTTGTATTCTTTCACCATACTTATTTGACCTGTATGCTGAGCAAATAATCCGAGAAGCTGGATTATATGAAAAAAAATGTGGCATCAAGATTGGAGGAAGACTCATTAACAAGCTGTGATATGTAGATGATACAACCTTGCTTGCTGAAAGTGAAGAAGATTTTAAGATATTTACTGATGAAGATCAAAGAGTTCAGCCTTCAGTATGGATTTCATCTCAATGTAAAGAAAACAAAAATCCTCACCACTGGACCAGTCAACAACATTATTATCAATGGAGGAAAGATTGAAGTTGTCAAGGACTTCATTCTTCTTGGATCAACTATCAACACTCGTGGTAGCAGCAGCCAAGAAATTAAATGACATATTGCATTAGGCAAATCTGCTTCACAAGACCTTTTTAAAGTGTTGAAGAGCAAAAATGTCAGGTGGAGTACTAAGGTGCACTTGACCTAAGCCATAATATTTTCAATAATCTCATATGCATGTGAAAGCTGGAAAAACATAGAAGAATTGATGCATTTGCGTTATGGTGTTGGAGGAGAATATTGAAAGTGCCATGGGCTGCCAAAAGAACCAACAGATCTGTGTTGGAAGAAGTGCAGCCAGAGTGTTCCTTGGAGGCCAGGATGGCCAGACTTCGCGTCTCATACTTCAGACATATTGTCAGGAGGGACCAGTCGCTGGAGAAGGATATCATGTTTGGTAAGGTGGCGGATCAGAGAAAAAGAGGAAGACACCCAATGAGCTGGATTGGCAAAGTAGCAGCATCAATGGGCTCAAGCATGGCAACAATTGTGAGGTTGGCCCAGGACTGGGCACTGTTTCATTCTGTTGTGCAGAGGGTCGCTATGAGTCATTACCGACTCAATGGCACCTAATAACAACAACAATACTAAACAAGTTTCAGCAGAGTTTCCAGACTAAGATGAACTAGAAGAAAAGGTCGGTGATCTAAAATCAGAAGATTCTCCATCTTGATCCCAGCAGGTGAGCTCCTGCATCTAGGGAAATAGACCTGGTTCCTCTGGTAGCGTAGTGGTTACAAATCAGACTGCTAACCTCAAGGTCGGCAGTTCGAAACTACTAATGGTTCCGTGGGAGAAAGATGAGGCTTTCTGCTCCCGTAAAGATTTACAGCCTTGGAAACCCTATACAGGGTCACTATGAGTTGGAACTGACTCCACGGTACTTAACAGCAACTCATCATTAAGAGATTATCGTGTGTTCGTTTCCTGTTGCTGCAGTAACAAATTACCACAGACTTAATGGCTTAAAACAACATAAATTGGTTAGCTTAAATTTCTAGAGGTCAGAATTTCAAAATGGGTCTCACTGGGTCAACATTAGGGTGTTCGCAGGACTAAAGGTTCTAGGAAAGAACCCATCTATTTGCCTTTTCCACCTTCTAAAGGTAACCTGCGTGGGCTTGTAGCCCCTTTCTCCATCTTCAAAGCAACAACAGCGGGTCCAGTTATTCTCATATTGTGCCATTTCGACCTCCTTTCTCTTCACAATTATGGACGCTTGTGATTATATTTGGTCCACCCAGATAATACAGGATAATCTTCCTCCTCTAAATTGAGTTAATTAGCAAATTCCATCTGCAACCTTAATTTCCCTTTGCCATGTAACCTAACATATTTACAGGTTTCAGGGATTAGGATGTAGACATCTTTGGGAGAAGCAGCACTCTGTCTGTTACAGATGATCATATGTATCCACAGAATAGAAAAGACAAAGAGAGCAGATGTTTCTAACTAACAACCCACCAAACCCACCGCCATCAAATCTATTTCAACTTATAGTGACCCTATATAGGGTTTTCAAGTGTAAATCTTTACAGGAGAACACAGTCTCATTTTTCTCCTAAGGGTCAACTGGTGGATTTGAACTGCCAAAACCATGGTTAGCAGCCCAATGCCTAAAACAATAAAGGAGGGCATTTAAAGACTGTTGTCAAATGACCATGAGTTGATATTCATTGAAGTGAATGATGGAAATGTAAGGATTCTTTAATTGCTCCATCTACTTTAAATATATTAGAAATTTCTCATGATGAAAAGTTCTGAAATGTCCTTGTTGTCTCTATTGTTTCAGGAAGGTCCCCAGACTAGGGTTGGAGTCCAAACATTCATTATTAGCAGATTTTGCTACAAAATCTCATCCATACTCCCTATCGACTGACTACTGGAGAAGTGAAGAGCTCTGCTCTGAACTGGCCATGGGTGGAGGGCAGTGGTCCTTTTGAATGACATCCACCACTTTTGCAAAAGCTCTCAACTTTAACCACACCAGAATAGAATAGAAGAGTTGCCCCATCAGAGGCTGTCTCTCTTCCTGTGATTCTACTTCATGAGCTTCTGATTGTCTTAATTCCTGTGGCAGCTGCCAGATACTGGACCAAGGGGAATTCAACCATTATGACAGAAACAGGACTGTTTTTGGAGCCCTGTTCTCCCTTCAGGTAACCCTTCAGGGTGACTGGGCTGCTCCAGGTGTTTCTGAACAATGTATTACATTTCTGCTAGTTCAGGACTTGAACTTTCAACAGTTCTAAATTTCAGACCAACGACCAATGTAAAATTCTCACCTTCCATGTGGGAGATCCAGGTTTGTTTCCCAGTCAGTGTGTATTATATGTAGCCACCATATCTGCCTACCAGTGGAGGCATGGGGTTGCTGTAATACTAAACAAGTTTCAGCAGAGTTTCCGGACTAAGATCAACCAGGAGAAAAGGTGGGTGATCTAAAATCCGTCAGTGAAAATGCTGGAGCAACTGGAACAGAAGATACTTCTTGAAAGAAAGACCAACAGGAAAAATACAAAACACTAACAGCAGTCTGACTGACTACTACAAGAACAAGCAAGTTGCTCACCCAGGAGACATCAAGGCAAGTGGTCGGGTCCCCTCAGGGCAAGCTCCCTTCTAAGACTAAGACTCAATGGGAATACACGAGCAGACATGCACTCTGATTGGTGACCATGTTCATCACCGGTAAGGAGAAGTGAGGGAAAAACAGCAATGAAGCTGAAAGTTAAGCGCTACAATGTTCAATAGACTCCTGTGAACCCAAGTGGAGACCTGGTGTAGCAAGACCTAGGGACTCCTGGGCCCAGAGTCAGTGACATAGCCACAGAGGACTAGAGTCCAGCTGTTAAGAAGAGAGGGCATATGCATAACAACATCCACACTTGCAGATAATACCCACTTGACCTGGTTTCAATGACTGGATGATCAGAGCTCAACTAGAAGAAGAAAGAAGAAGAAAAAAAGAGTAATCTGATACAATCTGATGAACTTGATCTACACCTATAGATGCAATGGCTCAAAGGAGGGAGCAGATCTTTGCAGCGAGGATCATTCCCACCCCCTCCATACACAAAGTAGACAGGGATGCTCAGCTTGGACACTGGCTACCCAAGGTGGGTGGGCTACGGAGGCAAGAAGTGACTGGCTTGCAGGCTTTCAGGAGGGAGCCTACATCCAGAGGGTATGGAGGAAGGTAGAATCTCCACTGAGTAAATAGTATCCAATCTGTCTGGGCAGGGCTAATGAAAGGAAATGGGGATAGGTCCCTTGTTGCAGACCATGTAAGACTGGTCAGAGGTTCGAAGCCCTATAGGCCCGAGTGTAACAAATGAGGCCACTGGCAGTTTATGGCAAATTGCTTTCATTTTATATATTAAATTAATACACGGAGCCTTTGAGAATCCACATTTAAATGTGATATTTTCCTAAAGCCTAAGACTAAAGGTTGCAAGGTCAAGCCTTTCTCCAAAAGGATTAACTAAAAATATCTTAGCTACTTCTCGGTTCTTTGTTCTATAGACAAAGAACCCATCCTCCCTAATCCCTTTTCCAGGTGCAGCCCATTCACCTGGGCGTCTCCTGCAGAACTCTCACCTTCCCCCAACTGACCTCAGGGGCTATAGATATGTTAATTGGGCCTGAGAATCCAAGTTGCTGGCCTGGGATTCGAACCAGTGAAGTATGATGTAAAGTTACCTGAATGTCTGGAAAATTACTGATGTTAGCTGTATCCTGTTTTAGTCCCTCCCAGCTTGGTGTGAAACTCCTCCCCTAAATAAAGCAGAGGCCTGGGCCTCCCCAGGTGTGCATTACTGGTTGGAAGGCATGGAGTAACGATTGCAGTGCATTACTGGTTGGAAAGCATGCAGTAAAGATTGCAGGGCAGTGAGTTGCTGCCTGCAGAGGCCACGATGCCTGTAGTCCCAAGCCTGCCCACCAGTGATGTATCCACCCTGGCTTTGGGGTGCCTCATTGTCTCCCTTCTTCTGTTTGTCTGTGTATTCTTTCGCTATCCCTATCGCCGCTGGATCTCCCCTCCTCGTGAACCAAACACTCGTGAACAACACAACTATGTCGAGGGCAGACCCCGACAGTCCCTTGTGGTACAATAGTGAATAATTGTTATCAGGACTGACTGTGAGGGTTGGAAATGTAAAGGTGGATGCTTTGTAGCAAAAGGAGGGGAGTAATTGACTTTGCAGTCCAGGAGCTGAGGTCTCTGGAACCATTAAGGGAGAAGAGCGGAGTGCGAAATCCTACCCAAAGAGGCAGTGATGCCAGAGATGGAGGCAGAGACGATGACATGAAGAGATGGAACAGCTGGGGACTCTAGACCCAGAGAGGGAGAGGGACTGTGTGCTGATGACCTGGGGGTAGGTGGGACAGGCTTGCAGGGTATACCCTTTGGTTGATTGATGATGCGTGGAGGGGATTGTAATGATGGCAATGAAACGATATACGATAGGATGAATGTAAGGCTAATGTTCTCCCATGTAAACAAACTATCACACAACTCACAATAAAACATTTAATTTTGAAAAATGCTATGGATAACAACCATACAATCTGTAACTGATCATGGGATGATGCAGGATTGGATAGTGCTTTGTTCCACTGTTCATAGGGTCACCATGTGTCAAAGGACAGCCAATACTATCCCCAAAAGAGGGAATGGTTTCAATCCTACGATCAAGATGAATTCCTCTGCAGCCAAGCAGAGGTTCCTAGAGGGGGCTTGGGCATGGAGGGAGGCCCTTCCTATAGAAACAAGCACAGCCCACTCTTCCATCCTTGGGATATGAGGATTTCTTGAGGCTCAGACATAAACCACATGGCTGTCAACCACCTTCTCTTCTCCCATGTAGACCATTTCCAAGAACCAGGCTCCCCACAGCTGTCAGTCTAGCCCTGACAGAGGCAGCAGACCTCTGCTCTCTGAGAGCCTGCTACCAGCTGGCTGAGACCTCATTGTAAAGGCTAGTGAGTCATTCTGTTTGGTTGCACTCCCTGTCACGCTCCTCTCCTCTTTTTCTTTACTCTCTCCACCCTCAACTCCAGAACAACACCCGCCCAGAATCCTACTCAGTCACTAGGAATCTGGTCTGGGTTGTTGTGTTCCAGGCATTACCAAGGTTCCAAGTATCCCAGAAACCCAAGAAATCGACACTCAGAACTCTATGAAAGAATGGCGTCCAAAAGGTGAGGTAAACTAATGGTAGAGGAGAAGGGACTCGGGTGAGGAGTTGTTGTTGTTGTTGTTGTTGCTGTTAAGTGCCGTTGAGTTGGTTCCAACTCATAACAACCCTGTGTAGGGTTTTCGAGGAGCGGCTGGTGAGCTTGAGAAGGAAATAATTCAGGATCTATCTAAGGGAGTGGGAGTCCTGGTGTGGTACTGTAGGATAAGCACTTGACTGCTCACCACAAGGTTGGCAATTCAAACCACAAGGTTGCTTCTTGGAAACCCTCCCTATGTAGGGTCACTATGAGTTGGAACTGATTCAATGACACTTAACAACAACATCCAGGGGATGTGCAAGACCTCTGTGTAAAGGAGGAGTGGAGAGAGAACTGATTTCCTGAAGCAATGAGAGAGGAAAGAAATGAGAAGAAGAATCTGGGAGACCAGACAGCCTCTGCATTTAATTCAACAAGTATTTATTGTTCTCCTACGTGGGAGGAATATGTGAAGAAATATTGAGCCAACTTACTAATGAAAATGGAGGACATAGGGCCCTGTAGAGGTGAAGAAGAGCATCACCCCTGTGCTAAGGGGAGACCCAGGACTCCAAGAAGACAGGAAGTCTGCATCTAGTTCACACAGTTTATTGAGACATCTGTCCAGGATCTAGAGAACGTAAGGAGCCTGCTCACGTCTTTGAGGATGTCCTGGCGTCTCCCTCACAGACGCAACGTCTGAGCATGGAGGGGAGTGGCAGCCAGGAAGGGGGCTGGGATGGAGACATTGAGAGGCAGACGAAACGGTGCTGGGAACAGTGATTTCCAAGGCTGGGGTGAACTCTGTGATGGAGTGGAGTGGGGTTGTTACATGGAATTGAATGTGTTTGTTATGTCCGAGTGGGTGAGTTGGTTGACCAGTTGGTCACTGTTTTCAGATACTGGTTTGGATGCTGCTTTATTTGACAAAGGTGGAGTGGATATCCAAGCCCCATCTTTTGGGAACTGGAAACATCGTGGAGCGTTTCCCAGTCAATAATCTGAAGAGGTGCAGTTAGTCAATGGACCATACCATCTCAAAGAAATGGCAGGGGAAATTTAGCGAATACCTATCTGGAAGAGAAGGCATTGCAGTGGAAAGGGAATGAGAATAGGATTTGGGGTCTTCCTTTTTGGGAAGTTGAAGAAAGAAGAGGGGATTGGGGAAGTCTGCCACATTGGGGTAATGGTGGTATAGAGCATGTCTCTGGGGAGGGAGGCGAGAAAGTGAGCTAACCCCACCCCTGGTCCCTGAACTTCTCCCACCTGGGAGGTGGTGTACCATATGTGCATACCCGAACATGCACAGATACAAAAACTGACTTATGAACTCTCAAGTGACTCCCCTTGTGGGAGGAAAACTTCAGGATCAGCTAACTGGGGCCCCAGAGGTTTAATTTGGGCCAAGATGTCCCGAATGGAGCGACAGGGGATCTTGCTGGAGCCACAGGGCTTGGCACCTGCTGATGGGTCAGGTTGAGGAGAGCCATCAGGACCTCCACTCAATGTTGAGGAGGAGACAGAAATGCAAGGGTTACCAGAAGAGCTGGACCTGCTGCCACAGGGCTGAAGAATGATTTTGCCACTGGATTGGGAGCTAGAACTGCCACTGAGGGAGCCGGTGCCTGGTGGGGAACAAGGGCCCTGGGAAACACTGCCACAGGGATGGAAGGATGAGCCGGAGCTACTGGAACTGCTGTGGACTCCAGAACTGGAGATGGAGCAGGGCCCTTTGGAGCCAGATCTACAGGGCTGGACCCCACCAAATCCCACAGGCTGGAACACATTGGCTGAGGAAGCTCCAGACTGGTATATGTTGGAACTAGAAGAGCTGTGGCTGGGGATTATTGGGTTGCTAGAGAAGTATTTGCCCTCAGAAATAGGGGGTCCAGCTGCAAAAGAGGGGACTCCTGGGGAACCTCTGACAGGGTTCTCCTTGGTGAAGTAGCCCACAGGGTAGATCTTACCCCCACTGTAAGTCATGCCAGGAACCAGGTAACTGTTAGAGGAGCCACCTACTACCTCATAGCCACTAGAGTATTTGTCTACCACAGAGGTGATAGGGGGGCAGGGCTTGCCTGAAAGGCCACCGTTGCTACAGGGGATACCTTGAACTGCTCCAGGACCACCAGAACCATGCTGCTCCACCACCACCACCACGGGCCTCTGACCTCCTGACACGGTATGGGAGCCAGAGATGTAGGAGCCAGAGTGTGAGACAATGGGACCACCACTGCAGGGAGAATCGGGGACATCTGAACTACAGGGAGGCAGGTTGGAGCTGACCCTTTGGCCACCACTGTTGGACATCCAAGATGTTTGGGAAACAGAAGAGCTGGAACCTCCTCCAGTCTGGGAAGTGCTGATTACCATACGGGAAGGTCCATCATTGATGGGCAAAGCTGAACCAGACACTGAGTGGGAGACGCTGTTTCCAGACTGGAAAGTGTTGCCTGGACTTTGCAGAGCAGAGCCAGATCCAGAGGAATGGCTGATCTGGGAATACCCTCTTCCTGGCTTAAAGGATGATCCTGAAGAGCTACCCTGGTGGACACTGTATCCACTGGACCCACTGTTAGAGACACTGGAACCACCACTGGAGCCACTGGAACCACTGGAACCACTGGAACTGGAAACAGAACTGCTGTAGCTGCTGGAGCCACTGTGGCTACTGGATCCACCTGTCCCAGTGAGGCAGGGGTTATTGGGTGAGGTGATGCGGGTGGGGTCCTTGCAGGGGTCTGAGAAGGTCCCGATGCTCTTAGCCGAGGTTCCTAGGGAGGAAAGTAGTAGTTAGAAAGAACCAAAGAGGCTGGCTCTGTCGTCTGCCCCTCAGCCCACTCCATTCATCTGCCAGTCTCACTTCTTCCGGGAGAGCTCAGGGATGGTTTGGGGTAGAAAAGGGAAGGGAGAACTGACTGTTGAGTCTCTGAAGGCTGTTGAAATGGTAGAATAAAGACAGCTACATAGTTTTGGGGAGTCAAGGAGGCCAAAGATCTAACAGAAAGAAAAAGAAAATGAAACCCGGAAGTGGCAGACTTCAGAGAAATAAGCAAGAGGGAATGGAAAGTGGCAGGAACCAACAGGTCTAAAAGAAAGGATCTCAAATAGACAGAGGCGGGGAGACCGAGACTCCGAGAGGTGGGGCATAGATCCTGAGAGAATCAGTTCTGAACGAGGTTGTGGGACAAATAAAAAGAGAAGGCAAAAGACAAAACCATGGGGGTGTGGATAGAGGTTGAGAAGGGAAGGAAAAATATATAGGAACTGCTAGGGAAAGAGAAACTGGGTGCAAAGGGACTGAAAGAATGGATAGGACGCTTGAGGACTAAGATTCAGTCACCACTTCTATAAGAATAGAGGCCTAGGTGAAAGGTGGCTCTCCCACTTCCTGTCCTGGCACTAGCCATGCCAGTAAATTTGTGTGGCAGCCAGGATATGGGGGCACCCATCTGTTGCTTCACAACCTGGTGGCACCAGTGTGACAGGACACCACACCCAGAGACACCTCTGTACTCTCTGCTACAACCCAGGGGCTCCAGGAGGAAACGTTCTTCCAAAACGGGTGGGCATTCTAGCTTTCCTTCTTCCTCACCCAGCTGGTACCTATCATCACCCACCCAGGCCTACATCTCACCTCTCCTGAATTAATTTCCTTTAGAAATGAGGAACCACTTCTTATCTTAATCGGCTCTGCTCCCACCAACTCCCAGTCTCAATGTACCTCCTCCACCCCATTCTTCCTCCTTTCTTCTCTCTTCCACTTGTGTCTCCTCTTCCCACTCCAATACCTCAGGCTCAAGTGGCGTGGACAGAGTCACATACTAGCTGTGACACTGGGCAAGTTACTAAACCTCTCTGTACTTTAATTTAGACATCCAAAGAGGCTGGGTCGATCCAGCCTTCCTTACAGTGTGCCTATAAAGGAGTCTACATGGAAAGTGCTTTAGAAAAACGTCAAGCATGATGCTGTTGTCGGTAAGTGTCAGCGAGTCAGTTCCGACTCATAGCGACTCTGTATAGAGTTTCTGAGACTTTAAACTCAGAGCGAGAGCAGAAAATCTCATCTTTCTCCCTCAGAGTGACTGGCAGGCTCAAACCGCAGACTTTGTGGTTTGCAATCCAGGGCTTATCTCATGGAACCACTGTGCTCCCTAAAGCATTATACATTATGATTTATTATTGCCAGTCATTCTGGAACCCCCACCAGCAACCAGATCTTCATAATCATGATATTTGCATTCTCTCCTCAAAGAGAAATTACTTGTATCTCCCTCCAGGCCAACCCCTACTCTGTCTACAGCCTTCTTCATCCCAGTGAACTAATTTAGTAAGCATTTTTCCTCTCTTCTCCTGCCCACCCCACAAACCACAGACCCAGCTCTCCACCCACCCAGAACCACAGGGAAGGTCACAGACCTTTCTCAAGGGCCATGTACCCCTGTGGCTAGTAACACAGGTCCTAGAATCACCCAGTCTGGGCTTGAATTCTGGCTTTCCTGCTTTCTAACTTTCTCATCTTCAGCCAGTGTTCTAACTTCTTTGAGCCTCAACGTTCCCATTTGTAAAATGGGCATAAATCTTCTTTCACACCGTTATTATAATGATCATAAGTGCTAATACATTTAAAGTGCTTAGAGCAGTTTCTGGCACATTAAGAAGACTACAAATGGTAACACTCATTATTACTACTAAGAATCCCAGCCACATCTCCTAGTCCTCTAATAACAATAACAATAGCAACACAACAATTAATATTTATATCACCCTTTTAACTTTTCCAAAGCACCTATCACTTGTGTCTCACAGACAAGCCATGCCTTGGTGTGATTACTCTCATTACAGAGTTTCAAAGTTGAGGCTTTGCAAGTTAAGTAGCTCTCCTGAGGTGGACTGACATAGCAGAAGCCAGCGAGAGCACCTTCCCCCTCTTTGGATCCTTCCTAGGAGTCTCTCAGCATAAAGGATGGATTCTCTGCATCCCCCTAGCCTTCTCCCATCACCTATCCCTCCCATTCCCTTCACTCCTACCTGGCAAGAGAAGAGCGGCCAGCAGTAATGCCATCATCTCGTGCCCTCCCACACGCCCTGTCCGGAGTGCCCGAGAGAAGCCCATCTTGGACCGTGCTGGTGACTGACAGCAGCTCGTGGACACGCAGTCCTTTATGCCAGGGCTGGACATTCTCCGGGCAGGAGTCACTGTGGGCAGGGGAGGAGAGGCGGAGGGACAGGTGCCTGAGGAAACTTGGCGTGGCAGGGAGGAGCCAAAGTAATCAGTGGGGAGCATCTGCCAACTCAGCAGCAGCGGTGACTGGAGTGTGGGGTACCTATGGCCAGGGGCCCAGCAGTTCCTGCCACTTGACTGGCCTGCCCCTGGCTCCACATCTGTGCATTGCCCAACATGGAATCTGTCCCAGCAGCCACCCACTCTCGGGCAGCCACTATCACCACGGGACACAGTCACCTGGCTGCTTTACTCTCCTCCCTCCCAGTACTGACCAGACCTCGGACTCTCCAATCTCCTCCCACTGCTAACTTCTCATCCTGCTAACTCCCTTCCACCTTCCATTCACAGATGTGAACATTTCCAGTTTCCCTTCTGGACCCATGTCCTTGCTCCAGACCACAGCAATTGGGTTTGCCACTGCACTGGGCTTTCCACACAGCCCCTTTTCCTTGAGATCTGTCACTCAGCTCGGTTTTTCTCCTCTAAAGCCAAGTCTCCACCAGTTATCGCGGCCCAATACCATGCCTGCCACACACATTTTATATGATCTACCAAAGTGGTGCTGTAGGATCAGCACTGGACTATGAACCAGAAGGATGGCAGTTCAAGCCCACCAGTTGCTCCTTGAAAACCCTATACACAGGGTCACTATGAGTCGGAACCTATATAACAATTAACAAACAACAACATGATGAATGAACTTTTTCCTCTACAAAACTAGGCATCCACATTCTGACAACTAGCTCCCTAGCCTCTCCCTTCTGGAGGGCCCCAGGGACAGTTTGGGGGGTGTTGGGTCCCAGAGCCTTAGTCTGGGGAGGCCTGGGCTGGGGAACCCCTGTCATAGCTGGACTTCACTTACTCACAGGCCACTCACAGCCTCTCCCCCAGGGCTGGTGACCCTGAGCAAGAGGCTAAATTGGGAATGTGGAGGCACTGCAGGCAATTAACCGGCTCCCTGGGCTGGATGAGTGAACAGGAAGCAGCCAGCTCACTTTGGGTAGGATGAGGGAGGGCCAGGCAGTTCCTGGGTTCCCAAAGGATGAGAGACCATGAGCGGCCAGGTCAGGATTGGAGCCCTAGAGAATGCTGGCTTCTCCCTCCTCTGTTGCATTACCCTCCTTTGCTTTGACCCTGGCCCCACCCTAGCCAATTAATTGCTCACTGGTATGGCACACAATCACCAAGTACCAGTATTGTCAAGAGTGTCAGTATCAGAGGGAGGGGACTGGGAGTCGGGTCAAGCTGCTGTCTCCCTTCACCTAGTGGCGCTGTGGGTTAATGAGCTGGACTGCAAAGTCAGTTTGAACTGTAAGGTCGGCGGTTCAAGCTCACCCGCCCCTTCTTGGAAACCCTATATAGGGTCGCTATGTGTCAGAACTGACTCAATGGCACTCAAAAACAACAACAATGGCACACAACCACCAGCCACCAATATTGCCAAGACTATCAGTATCAGAGTGAGGGACCAGGGAGTCCTCACCCAGGCCCACCCCACAAGACCAGCTGCCCAGAGAGCCCCTGTTCACCTCACCTTCTCCCACTTGCACACATCCCCATCTTCTCAAAAAGGTCCCTCCATCCCTAGAAGTCCTTGGGCTGAGCTCTTCCTTTCTCTCTACTCCTGACCTGTCTTTTACTCTAGCCCTCCACTGTCCAATAGAACTTTCTTCAATGAGGCCAATGTTCTCTACCTGTGCTGTCCAATGTGGCTCTGTAGGATAAGCACTCAAACTACAAGGTCGACTGTTCAAATTCACCAGCCACTCTTTGGAAACTTTATACAGGGCCGCTATGTGTTGGAACCGACTCAACGGCACTTGACAACAACAAGAAACCGCATGTGGCTGTAGGGCACTCGAATTAGGGCTAGTATAACCAAGGAGCCAAACTTTTCCTTCGATTTAATTTTATTTAACTTAAATGTAAATATTCGCATGTAAATATCCATCTAGGACACGGTTTGACTTTCTGCCAACACTCAAAATGGGGTGGAAAGGAAGACCTGTGGAGAAAGGAGACAGAATGCAGTCACATCCTATAAGGAGAGCATCAAACCCAGGATGACTTGGGTTCAAGTCCCAGCTAGTCCCCTGGCTTTGGGCAACTTCGAATTTTAATTTCCTCATCTGTGAAATGGGTATATTTTCAATCATGCTTGCCTATAGGATTTTTGTGAAGACCAAATAAAAAATGATTAGAAAGATGAACTAGAATGAAAGTTGTGGTCCTCCTAGCGTGGTTGCTCAGCAAATGCTGCCCCCAGTTGCTCCTGTCTGTCTGCTCCCACTTCAAAAAAGCAAACAGGATGGGATTGCACCACATCTCGAGGTTTCTGCTCTCTCTCTCTCCCCTGAGAAACCAACTCAGCTGACTCTAGAAGAATCTTCTTGGCTCCCTTCCTGCCTCCAGACAGAACAACAGACACAAGCATGGGGACAGGGATGCTACTTAACATGTGTTGCTCTTTCCAAATGTCAATAGTGCCCCTCCCTGCCTCTGGTGCATTCCCTCCCAGACTCTCAGGCACTGGCTCCATCCCTTGTCCCATCCATCCTAGGGACTTGAGAGACTCTGGGGAGGAGCTCTAGGGGCTGGGAAGGGTGTGGCAGAGAGGAGAGAAAGGTCAGGAGCCGGTTCCCAAGTGTGGGGAGAGAAGGCAGAGGATCACCAGGGCCTGTAGGTTGATTATTCTTTTCCAATATAAACTTCCCCGATAAGTCAGAGGTGGCAATGTTTGTCTTGTTTTCTTTCTGACATTCCTCTCAGGTGCTGTCAGATGGCCAGGTCTGAGGAGGCACAGTCTCTCTCGGCCTCCCGCCAAATTTCGAACCTCCCACACAACTCTCATGTTTGGCTACATTCCTTCCTCTCACTGCTCTCCTCCTGTCCAGCCCTCTCCTCTCCACCCTACCATCCTGGTTAGCCTTATTCACCATTGTCCTCCCCACACCTGGGCCCCGCTGAGCTTCTATCTGTTCCCCTATATTTTACCAGTTACCGTTCTCTCTCAGCCCAAGCAGTGAAAACCTGAAGCTAATGTGGCACTGTGGGTTAAGTTAATGCACTGGACTGCAAAATCAGTTTGAACCACAAGGTCGGCGCTTCAAGCTCACCAGCCGCTCCACAGAAACCCTATACAGAGTTGCTATAGGTCAGAATCAACTCGACTGCACTTAACAACAACTACAACAATGGGACCAAGGAGGGGAGAGAAGAGAAAGACATTGGTGGGTGCCCAACACGGCCAGATCACCTTCTGGAAAACTCCTCCGCTCGGCACTGCCCAAGGTAGTACAGGCAGGGTCTGCTGCATCCCACAGCCTCAGAGTCTACCCCTGACCCCAGCCAGCTTGTGTCCAGAGCAACGAATGGTAGAGGGCAACCCAGCCCCATCAGAGAAAAACATAGGAAAGGAACTGGTGGGCCCCTTTTATGTATGAGGAAGGAAGGTTGATGCCCACTCTAGGCCACGGTTTTCTGCACCAGGCACTGGTTTGCCATGTTCACAGACCTGTGCTTTGCAAGTTTCAAGAATGAGGAAGATTAGTTTGTCTTTGCCCTGCAGGAGCTGCATCCAACAGCATAGAGAAAAGGCCTGAAACCTCTGGTCACTTGGCGTTAGGAGGTAGCTGAACTTTTGCTGGGTCACAATGAATGAGAAGATGAGCAAGACTCAGGACCTTGGCAAGACTTAGAAATAGTGGCTGCCTTAGATCAGTGTGAGAAGCACATATGCAGAGGACCAGCAGGTGAGGAATGTAGGTGATCTATAACACCAGCATGTCACTTTCAGGACTAAGGAGTATCTGACCCAAGCCAAGGTATTTCCCATCTCCTAATGTGCGTGTTGCATAAGACCTTTTTAAAGAGTTGAAGGGCAAAAATGTCAGCTTGAGGACTAAGGTGTGCCTGACCCAAGCCATGGTATTTTCAATAACCTCATATGTATGCGAAAGCTGGACAGTGAATAAGGAAGACAGTAGAAGAATTGATGCTTTTGAGTTATGATGTTGGAGGAAAATATTGAAAGTGCCACGGGCTGCCAAAAGAACCAATAGATCCATTTTGGAAGACGTGCAGCCAGAGTGCTCCTTGGAGGCCAAGATGACCAAACTTCGTCTCTCATACTTCAGACATATTGTCAGGAGGGACCAGTCACTGGAGAAGGATATCATGTTTGATAAGGTGGAGGGTCAGAGAAAAAGAGGAAGACCCCCAATGAGATGTATTGGCCAAGTGGCAGCATCGATGGACTCGAGCATGGCAACAGTAGTGAGGTTGGCCCAGGATTGGGCAGTGTTTCGTTCTGCTGTGCATAAGGTCACTATGGGTCGGTACCGACTCAATGGCACCCAACAACAACAGCAGTATGCATGTGAGTACTGGTGTGGCACTGTAGGTTAGGCACTGGACTGCTAATCACAAGGTTATTGATTCAAACCTACTAGCTACTCCTTGAGTCAGAACTGACTGAACGACACTTAAGAACAGCAAGAGCAATAGACATGCAGAAGCTGGACAATGAGTAAGAAAGACCAGAGAAGGGTTAATGCCTTTGAATGATAGTGTTGACAAGGAATACTGAATATACCATGGGCTGCCAGAAGAACCAACAAATCTGCCTTGGAGGAAGTACATACAGAAGAACGTGAAGACTTCCTTTCACATATTTTTGCACATACAGTTAGGAGTGACCAGTCCCTGGAGAAGCAGATCAACCAAACAGAGGAAGACCCTCAATGAGATAGACTGACACAGTGGTTGCGACAATGGGCTTAAGCAGAGCAACAATTGTAGGGTTTGGTGCAAGACTAAGCTGTGCTTTGTTCTGTTGCACATAGAGTCACTATGAGTTGGAACCCAGATGGCACCTAACAAAAAGTAAT